TTCTCATAGGCTGCCAGCTATCACAGCTACACTCACCTTGAGTTTAATGCATTCTTTGAGAGACTTTGTATGTACGGGTAAAGAAGTCAATGGTATGCAAGCCTCTGTTCATGCTTGTACTGAAATAGTAAAACAAAATTTTCTTGCTGCTTTCTGCAGTGACTCATACCTGGAGCAATAACACGGATTTCCCTGAAGCGACTGGTCTCCAAGACCGGTTTGTTAGAGAACTTATTGTAGAGGCTTTGTTCGCGAGCAATCTTTTTCAGCTGTTGTCGCTGGTTAACGCTCCCAGGACATGGGGATTAGCAGGATGGGCGCCCTCTATCAAGGACGGTACCGCAGGTAAGAGAGCTATTGCTAGAAACTTCTTGTGTCTTTGTTGATAATCCAGACACTGGATTGATTCGGATTATGCTGGATACGATTGCTCTGACAATTACTTGCGAGTCCAGGCACGTTAGTTTGCTGTTAGTCTACATGGCTTGTTGCTTTTTCTGTTCGTGTTGCCATCTGGCCTGCCTAAGAGCATGGCGTACATGGACTGCGAGCCAGAAAACATCGGAGACGTGACACGAGCGCTTGATGCAAAACACTGTAGCTTGCGGAGAGCAGATTGTCCTAGCAGCGCTTGACGTGGTTCGTGGACAATCTGATATACTTCAGAATCGGTGTTCCCAGTCACTTGCAAAAAGCAAGGAAGTAGCGAATTCTCTCAAATCCAAGTCATTTGCATTAGAAAAAGATACAAGAAGACTTTCTACTTGCTATTCTTGTAATAGAAGTAGAAGAAGACCGTATTCGCGAACATAGCACTCCCAGCTCCTCCTGCATGGGCATAGTCCTTCTCCCAATGGGAGAAAACTCCCCAAAACAAAGCAGAAGTGAGAGAACACACGGAGAACACGACGTACAGAGGTGACCGTGGGAAACCAAGCCGAAGAACTCCGCGCAGGCCAAGAGGAAAGGCTGATGCTACGACGTAAATTCCCGCTGTGACCCAGACGCGTGGCGGCTGGTGCTGAAACGCGAGCGAAAACCCAGGAGACGCAAGGCTGAGCACCAGCGAAGAACACAGTATCGCGACTCCTCGTCCCCGTCCAGCAGGCAGCTTGGCAATCACCGTAAGCAGCCCAAACACACAGAAGAAACCTGAGAATGCAGCGACGAAGGCCGACACGATAGCCAAGTGGTGGTAGTCTATGCCATCCCTGTTCCACTTCTCCACCATAGCAACCGCGTTGAGGGTGGAAAGTGCCAGGAGAGCCAAGAGAGGGGACAACGACCTCAGCATATCGTCACCTGAAGATCCTCGAGCTTGAGCATCACCTGCCTGGGCATTGCCGCCAGTAGCAGCAAGAAGCACAGCGCCAGATCCCGCAAGTGGCACAGCAGCAGCCACGCCAGGGTCTCCCTCATGAGCCATCACACCAGCATCTCCCTCAGCAGGTGTGTCTCCCATGGACACGCTATCTCCTCCCTGAGCCGTCTCACCAATCTTGTCTCCCGTGGGCTCCGTCACAATGATCCCCGTGAGATCTTCGCCTGGATGGACATCTTCACCCTCGCACTCGTCCTGTGCACCAGTGTCTCGCTCACCTGCAGCAGCGTTTCCCTCATTTGCACCAGCAGCAGCGTCTTGCTCCGGCATATCCACAACGATGTTGGTACCAGCGTCTCCCTCCTGCATGGCACCGGCGGCTCCCTCCAGCCCATTTGCAACACCAGCGTCTTCCTCCAGCATGCCACTGGCGTCTCCCTCCAGCACATTTGCAACGCCAGCGTCTCCCACATCCACAAAGATCCTAGTCGCCTCTTGGCCACCAATTTGAGCCGCGCCATCGCCCAGAACACCACCGCGCGCTGGATCCACTCCATGGCAAAACGCTGCTAGTGCCATCGAAGCCACTAGAGAAGATACCATTGACAAAAATCCTAGCCAAAAGATTCGTGATTTGGTGATCTCCTCGGCAGGAATCGCATCTGTAGGAACCTTGTGTGCCTGATGCTGGAACGGATCCAAGAATGCTGGCACTGGCGGTGTGGGGAAGTATATCTTGCTCCAGAGGATCCAGACCACGAGCCCAAATGCAATCACGCCCACAGCTCCAAGCCGACCGCGTCTTGCTCCCCGCAGCTCCAGACCGCGTCTTGCTCCTCGCAGCTCCATTAGGTCTTGGAAAATGGCACAAGATCTTCGCGTTTAAGAACACCCACTCTCATATGTCCTAGAACCGAACAAGATCTCAAAAAAGAATAAGAGCGTCCTTCTTTGATATCTTGGAGTGGCTTCGTAGAAAAGAATGTAGCTTTTTGCTCAGGCTTTCACAAATCCAGTGGCTTTCTCCGGCCTCCAGCCTTCATTCTGTGCACATCTATGAAGCTTGTGGAAGATGTGACAATACCTCTAGTTGCGCTGAAACAGTCCCTGCGAGCTCCCGACTGAACAGATTGTCACGAATCTGTACAAGGAATTGTCATGACACGCCTACCTGAATGGATCGCAATCGCACCAGAAGTTCTGGAACGCAGCAAGCTCTTCTATTGCAGGAAATGATCTAAGAAGAAGAACAAGATGCAAGAACAGTGCTGGGATTAAATAAGCACAAACTTTGAGGCAGCAGACTGACCAGATCTCGAAAACCTTAAAAGAAAGCCTGATAGTTCTCAGGCAGAAGTACAGTTTCGTAAGTCTACTACTTCTTTAAGCTCTGAAAGATGTCCAGAAAGTAGTGACGTTAGTGACCAAGAACGAGAAGGAAATCAACAGCAGTATTTCATTATCAACGATATACCTGTGTTTGTCAAGAGAGCACGCAACTGTATCCGAATCTGGTAGACCTGCTCGAGAAGTAAAGTCCATTTATTGCACAGAATGTCCTGTCTGTAAGTTCCACTCTCTTTGTATCTTCAGCTTTCAATCAACGGATGTTTTGAGTTCACGAGACTTCTCAAAGAAACTAGAAAAGCATCGCATTACCAAATAGCCGTCACGGACGTAGAATGGCATTGCTGCGGAAAGCCATCTCACTGAGGTCAGATTGATTTAGACAAACAAAGATACTATGTACCTGTCATTCTGCCGTGCTCCATCATATGCACGTAAAGATCCGCACCAGCTAGATGAGAGGCATAAGGACGAGGAGCTCCATGAGTATTTCCGCGGTACTTTCCTGCAGGAATGTGGAAAAAGCGCATTCAGCCTCATTAGCGCCTGGACCAAACTATGTAGATCATGAAACAACACTTACACCAAATTGCTCCCCAAACCTGAAATACATCCTGAGATACATCCTGTGTGCAAAATGCGATAAATACCTCTAGCTGACTGCCGCTAAACAGTCCCTGAAGAGCTCCCGACGCAACCAGTCAGGATTATCACTTGCTGTCATTTCAAGACCGGAAGCCAGCCACGAATCTGAAATGAAGTTCCAGAGCAAGAAATTGCAATTTAAACCTGACGCACCTCCATGCATCGTAGCACAAGTTCTGGAAAGCAGCAACGACGGCAAATACGCCACGAATGGAGCATCCCGGCGTACACCATCCGAGTGAAAACGCATCCATTCGAAAAACTTCAGGATGAAAATGTGGAAGCTCTCCTGCAACAAAAGGAAAAAGAGAAGAAATTAATCCTGATGTAAACCTTTAATGACAAAAATCCACCATCACTTGTTACAAGTGATTCAGTGCCTTCCACTTCAAGAGCCGCACATTTGAGCTCTATATCCAGTAACATATTGTTCTGAGGATTGACAGCCACATTCACCTGTTTCACTCAAGTCGTAAGGTTACAAAAAACACCAGATAGAAGTCCTCTTTACCGTTAAGTTGCGTTGAATGGAAGCCAGCTCTCCCGAGCAAAAATGCAATGCGCTGTTCGGAGCAGTGCAAACTGTAGGATCTGGAGCAAATCAAGGATCCGATGATCTCCATAAAACGACAGTGGAAAATAGTTCCACGGATTGGAAGGCTTCATCGTTGGTGAGAAGCCACTTTCATTCGCTATCTGAAAACGAAAATCTGAAAACAAAATAGGAAGAAGCAAAATAAGATAGCTTACTGTGAAGAAAAGCAATAGCTGTGTCAAGAGCTTGTTTTGCAGTAGCAAAGGACCTTGCTCTTTCTTCAGGTGAAATGCAGTTCTCAATTGTTGATAGCCAGCTTCGATAATGTGTGTCACAAGAAAAGTATTCTTGCTGAAAAAACGAAGTCCCGGGAAAAAAAAAAACAAAAAACAAAAACAGGCAGCAACGTTCTTTTTTTAATGGCTCTGCTTTCTCCTTCCGAAATCTCAACACTACACCATAGTGGCGTTAGCGAGATCTCTCGGAAAACCAAACGCTGTTGGAATTCTGCCATACAACGGGAGGCTGCCGTAGCTCCATCATATCCACGTAAAGATCTGAGAGGGATGAGGGCCAACGAGCTCTTCCTTGTGTTGCGTGAATACAAAACTCACGTACCTAAAAGAATAACATAAACAATAAGTGGAAGTGAAATCGATCATACGTGCTCAGGATTCAATCTCCAGCCAATTAAAGCCTGTCCGCGTATTGTCCTTCAATCCTTCCGCAGAACCAGATGTGCGGCGAAACGAATCATTTGAGGACGCCTGTGTGGCCTGAGAGAAACTCAGCTTAACGCACAATGCTCAAAGCCTACGTACTTGAAGCTAGAATTGTCGTCTACATTTCCAGTACCGGTGCTATATCAGAGACCACGAGGTGCATCTGTCCAACACAACAGCTGCGTCTCACAACCAGATTCCCAAGTCATGATGAAACAAAATGTGTACCCAGAGTAGAGCTTTTGAAACAAGTTGATAAAATCACAAGGCAACAGGCTCGGCACAAGTGGAAGATAAATCGATCGCGCTTAAAAGATGGCGGTGAGAAAGCTCTCCATGACCTTACAAGAGCGAACACGTTGGCTTTTTTTCAGATTAGAATCACAGCACAATACCTCGCAGTTGGCGTCAACACATGTGGTTTACATTGCCACACTGAGCAGCAAAAACGGGACTCTCGTATCTCCCCCCCTTCACTTGACGCTATTTTCTGGAACACCTTGTTTGGAAACACAAACACAAGTTCAAGTCCATACCTCGGAAGCACAAAAGCAAGCCCACTTCCATATCCTCCTTCCTCCATCAAGCTCTGTAGCGTCTAAAGCGCGCTTGTTGAATGAGCAGTCATGCAGCCAGCTCTCCACGCCTGATAGTGAAAGATAGCTGTGTCATTAATTCAAGAAAATAAGCAACTGGTTTTTGCTCGGGAATCACCAGGAGCTTGGATTTGAGCAGCGCGAGTGCTTTATCTTGTTTTGAAGTTGGCTTCTCTACTCTAGTATCACAAGAAAAATAAAGAAAGTTTTAGAACACTGCTTGCTGAAGATGTCTAGAAACATTTGTTTCATGTACCTGAGCAACGAAGAGTAATCCCTGTTGGACACAGGTCCTGCGCTTCTGCGTTTCTTCCAGCTCGGATGAGATTCCGCACATCTCTAAAAGAATATATTCCAGTTTCTGCAATAAGTAAGAAGAGGACCCGTAAGAGCGTAGTACCTGATCTTCGGGATGCAACCTGGAGTTGGAGCATCAGGATCCAAATGTCGAACATGGTGAGTTCCGATATTTTTTTGATAGCCCGTGTTATCCCACGAGCCTAGCTTCTGAGTGTATAGGCCCGCCTTCCTGTAGCGATAACATTTGTAGACACGAATATACTCCATGCAAGAGTTTTACCTTTATTTCTAAATCCAATTCCTTGGACGCCAAACTCTCGAGACAAGACAAAGACAAGTCTGATCGTTTCCTGTAAACCCGGACTGCGCTTTCAAAAAACAATAAAGTCAGTCCCGCTGAAACGTAATAAGCGATGCTACCTTTTCCATACAAATGCCAATGAAAAACCCATGAAGAAGACTCGGAAGTTTGCAATTGAGCCTTCTGACGTAGCCCTGTCTTTTACAGCTCGATGCTTCTCAGCTGCCTCGTCTCTGTAAAGAAAAAGCCGCTCAACTTCCAGTCGTCCTCAACAAATCGCTTCACCTGACTGCCTCCGCTAGATCCCGGCCAAACTCGCTCAAGGGCTTGGGCAGAGACGTGAAGCCTGTCAAAGAAAAACGTAAGTCGAGTTGTATAGCTTGAGAAACAAAATTGGTAAACCGGGTAACACCAGAAACAAAGCGCTCAAATGAATCTTCTCCAGCGCATCTGGTTCCTAGAGACCAGATACGGGTGAAAAGAGAGAACTTAGCACCAAAAACCAAAACCACACCTCTTCGATTCGTGGAGCAGCAAATGGGGACTCTTGGGCTCTTCAGGAAAGCTAGAAATCTTTGGCTCGGGACACATTTCACCAGCATTCTCACAGGAAGAAGAGAGAACGAGAAAAACATACCTGTTTCGCCGGCAATGCCACCAAAAACCCTCTTTACAAGTAAAAATCTCATGGTTTTGAGCGTCTGGTTAGTTAAGCGCGTCTGGTTAGGCTAACAAGAGCTGTTAGCGGAATGTCCAACTTTACGATCCACCGGCTGGTGCCGGTTCAAACGCAAAATCTCACTTACAGAAGGCTTAATACTTATTCAAAGTTTCACTTTTCCAAAAACCCAGAAAAGGGTATTTATATACTTGACCTGTTTGATAATATTATTGTTTTAGATTGCCCTTCAAACGTATTCAAACGTTTTTGCTGCTCAGTGTGGCAATGTAAACCACATGTGTTGACGCCAACTGCGAGGTATTGTGCTGTGATTCCAATCTGAAAAAAACCAACGTTTTCGCTCTTGTAAGGTCATCTTTTAAGCGCGATCGATTCATCTTCCACTTCTGCCGAGGACGCTTGTCAAGTCTTTGATGTTTTTCTGGCTCCATGTATGCCAATGCTCTTAGGCAAGTCTGAGCTGAGCAAATGCGGATGTCCAGTGTCTGGATTATCAACAAAGACACAAGAAAGTTATAAGAGTTTCTAGCAATAATTCTTTTACCTGCACTAACATCCATCAAATGGTGACTGGAGGATGCATCCATCCTCTAGCATTTCCTGGTAGCGTCAACCAGTGACCTGCAAAGATGGCTCACCACCTCTAACGTTTATGCCTTTACTCTTTGAGGAAGTACAAAGCAGTACCTGGCTCGCTCACATTGATTCCAACACCATTGACTTCTTTTACCTCGTACTGACAAGTGCCTCATGGAACACAATAAACTCGAGGTGAATCCATGAGACTGTCCGAGTGTAACTTTCGGAGCTCTCAGCCTCATCATCCACATCCTTTTCTTGTTATTTATAGGATTACATATTAGGGCTTGATAGTATGGAGATTACTAGTACGAGTGTTCCATTGTGGTGGTTCTTCTTACCTGTTTCAATTATTATGACTTGGGCAATTAGTTTTTATGTTTTCACCATCTATATCACATTTTATCCTCCAAAGTGGAATTGCCCAAATGGTGTTCTTTATTGTCAAAGAGACTGCAATGCACTAAGCCCTAGCTACCATTGGGGTTTTACATCATATTACGTGGCCTATGCAAAAATTGGGCCAAAATACTCTGCCATAAGATATTGGCAACTTGTTTGCTTCACTCGTCATGTATATATATTTCTATCAGTAGGCTATATTATTGGAGGTAATATTAGAACAGTTGTATAAAATACTATTGCTAAACTGATTTTACAGTTATTATTGGAATCGTTACTCTCTTCCACTACAGGTGCTCTATGCTGGTTAGTATTTTTATTGGAGCAGCTAGTGCATTAGCCAGCACATATGTCTCAAATCGCTCCTGGTTTATTATTTGGCAAGTTTTGTCTGCAATAGCACATTCTTGTGCAGGAACATCAGCTGTAATGAGATGGTTCATGGAAACACCCTGTTTTATTAGTTGGAAAAGATGGCTTTTTCCAAATCATGGATTTGCCGACTGTCAGAGGGAAGATGACAACGTTATATGTGAAGTAATTGGTACATACCCTATAGGTTCTCTTTGTGTGCCAAGTTGCATACCTATCACTTTTGTGTGTAGACATTTATATCCAGACTGGAGGTGGGGAAATAGGATGGTGTGTGTCATGGACTCTATTGTTGTTGTGGTGTTAGTGGGGGAAGTGTTCGGACGAGTTTTGATGAACAAAAGAAACAGTGGGAGAGTAGCAAATGTTTCCAATTAAGTGTGTAATATTAAAGTGATCAAGAGAACTTTGGGCTGGTTGAAACTAGAATTCATGTGCTGCCACAGATAATGCGAGTATTTAGAGAGTGTGGGTTTTTTAATATATAGCAGCATAGACTTCTGCAGTGACATTACGACTTTGCCAGTCATACACAAGAAATCGATAGAGAGAGAGAGAGAGAGAGAGAGAGAGAGAGAGAGAGAGAGAGAGAGAGAGAGAGAGAGAGAGAGAGAGAGAGAGAGAGAGAGAGAGAGAGAGAGAGATTTATACCTCGGAATATCAACTTAGACTGTTTCATTATGCTGATGTGTTTTTCCAATTATTATTAGAGTTATTATTACTCTCTTATTTTTATTGGAGTACATTAGCAAGCATATATGTCTCAAATATGGTTTATCATTTTGTCTGCAACAGCACATTCTTGTGAAGGAAGATCAGCCATAATGAGGTGGTTCACAGAAGCACCTTGTTTTCTTTTCCAAATCATAAGTTTGCAGGCGCCCAGGGGATGATCACAACAATATATGTGAAGTGATTGGTGGATATCCTATGGTTTCTTTGCGAGCCAGGTTGCATACCTTGTGTAGACGTCTAGGGAAATAGGATGGGCATCCCCTTTCTTGGATACAATCAGTTTTGTAGAAAAAGAAATCATGAGCTAGTCAAAAGTTTATAACAAAGTACCTTAATAGGACTCACTCGACGCTATTTTCTGGAACACCTTGTTTGGAAACACAAACACAAGTTCAAGTCCATACCTCGGAAGCACAAAAGCAAGCCCACTTCCGTATCCTCCTTCCTCCATCAAGCTCTGTAGCGTCTAAAGTGCGCTCATTGAATGAGCAGTCATGCAGCCAGCTCTCCACGCCTGATAATGAAAGATAGCTGTGTCATTAATTCAAGAAAATATTACGTTTCAGCGGGACTGACTTTATTGACGATCCACTGCGGTTCAAACGCAAAAATCTCACTTCCACAAATCAAATAACTTAATAAGTTCCAGGGCAACAATAAATAATTTATATAATCAAACAGGGCAAAACCTTTTCTGGGCTTATAAGCTAAATCAAACTTTTTTCTTGGGAGCAAGATGCTTGCTATTAGAATTACTTTAGAAGCACACTTATCTACATGTAAACAGTACTAATCTATAAAATTACAATTAACTGGAATTGTCACTAGAAATAATCAAGTTTATAATTCTATGCATAAATTATAAATCTATAATATCAAATTTTCATAGCTTAGACTGTTTTATTATTTGTATAGAAATTACTAATGTGTTTTTCCAATTATTATTGGAGTTATTAACTCTACTGGTTAGTAGAATAGTTAGTAGCATATACATCTCAAATCACTCATGGTTTATCATTTTGTTTACAACAGCACATTCTTGTGAAGGAAGATCATCTATAATGAGGTGGTTCATAAAAGCACTTTGTTTTCTTGGCTACAAACGATGGCTTTTTCAAAATCATGGGTTTACAGGCGACAATATATATGTATAAGGTGATTAGTGGATATGCTATGATTTCTTTATGCAAGTTAGGTTGCATATTTTGTGTAGACGATGCCACAATGGCAAAAGATCAACTTTGATCAACTAAATTAGACTTCACATTTGTACTTTACTGCACAAGCATAAAGAAGGAATAAATGTCTATTTAACTCAACATACTTGGCTTAGTTTGCAAGAATCCGAAGGAAAGCTCCAGCTACTCGCGAGCATGGGATGGGGAGATGTGAGCGTGAGAACGGTGAGGAAGGACTGCAGAGAGATAAAGACAGTAATATATCCTCCGTACTCTTTCCCTCTGTTCCCCCGTCCATACGTGTTATGATGCAGTTTTAAAAGCATCTTTATTCAAAGTTCACAAACAGCTAGCTAAAGCTTAATTTCCCCTTTAACATCGAAATTTGGAGAAGAAATTTAAAGTCTTTGGTGGAAGCAAATTAAGAGTTTCCACCATGGGTTAGTGTTGAAGATCGATTGTGAGAACTTTGGAGTCTGCATGGAAGAAAAGCAAACGAATGAGGAACAAAAACTGGTCCTCAAGAAAAACAAGGAAGAAACAAATAAAAATCATGACTATATTTCCTGGAAGCTTAGTTCTTCAGGGGAAACTTGACACCATAGGCACTGGATAAGCTTTCGATGTTAAAG